AAATATTTATTCAGGTAGAAATTAGTAATTTAGAAAAATAAAAGCAAGTAGAAGTCTAGGTGATAATCAATGATGGCCTACAGAAAACTATTAGAAACTGAAAGGAGGAACTAAATTTGAAAGTTGTTGTAGAAATAGATTCCCAGGACTTGGTTTGTGAAGAGGGAGAGAGTGGTCAAGATGATTCCTAAGTTTCAGACCTGAGTACTTGCATATCTGTTAATAAGAAAAAAAGACTCAAGAGAGGTTTATGTGGTAACAAAAATTTATTTGTTCTTGAACAAATGTATTCGGTTTTTTTTTCACTTGAAAAAAAGAAAACTTCAGTTTCTCAAAAACTGGTATCAAAATAAGATCCACATGGATAAAAGTTTCAACTGTTGCAGTGGTGGTGGTGGGTTTTTTTAAAGTTGTTATTGTGAATTATATGATAGTTTACATGGGAGAACATTAGCTTTCATTGCAATGAATGATTACAGTCCCCTGCATGCACCCACAAGCCTGCCCCACCCCACCCCACCCCTGGCTGCCAACACACAGCCCCTCTCCCTACCTGAGTCCAGAGTCCCCAGCCACTCTATCTCTCTAGCTCATCATATTTGCCTCCATCTCTGGCGTCACTGTTTCTCTGGGTAGGGTCCTGCAACTCCGCTCCTCTCACTTGATGATCCCAGGGACCTCCGTTTCCGGACTGCAAAATCAAGCACTCCCCTCCTTTTGTTACAAAATGTCTACATTACATTTTCAACCCTCACAGTCAGTCCTGATAGCAGTTATTCAGTATTGTACCACAAGAGACCTATCGGATCTCCTTTAGTCAGCCCCATCCCAACAGATTGGAAACCACTCAGTGGAGAGTCTACCTTCCCCCGCACCCTCTGGAACTAGGCTCCCTCTTGTATGCTAGTCACTTCTTGCCTTTGTAGTCCCCGTCCCCCCATCTTCCCCCCATTTTGGGTAGCCAATGTCTAAGTTGCCCATCCCTGTCAACCTTGTATACTAAAGGGTGGAAATGATCCTCGCTGTAAAGATTAGTTCCCTCTTTTGAGCTGCTACATCCATAAGTATAGGTCAAGTTCATCAAACTGTAGAACGTTACTCTTTTTTCCCCTCTTCTTTCTTCTTCTAGTCAAGTTCTGATCATCCAGCCATTGGAAGTCAGGTCAAGCGGGTACTATCTATCTGCAAGTATGGGTGTTCTTGTGCATCTCCCTTCACTTCATATCAGCTGAACACTTCACTCTCTGCTCTAGTCCTCTGTGGCCATGTCACTGACTCTGGGCCCAGGATTCCCCAGGCCTTGCTGTACTGCTTGCTCCTGCTCTCCACCCGGGTTCACAGCAGTCGATTGAGTGAGGTCGGACCCAGCTCACACCTTCATTGCTGTTTTTTCCCCACTTCCTCTTATTGGTGACCAATGTGGTCACCAGCCGGACCACATACCTATTCATGTATTCCCCTTGAGTCTTAGTCTTGGAAGTGGGGGGTTTGCTCTGAGGGGATCCGACCACTTGTCTTGATGTCTCCCGGAAAATCTATTTGATTTTGAAATCACAGAGCATTCAAGTGGAGTGTGTGTGGCTAACAGGCAAATTGTAGATGGAAAGGAGAGCTCAGAAACAGTTAGGGCTGGAGATCTGGGCAGGAAAATTAAAATGATGAAGATCATCATATTATTTCTTTGCAGGAACTTTCACTGCCTTGCAGATGTATTTGAGAAGTAAACGACAGCAGTGTACCCAGGTAACTGTCTTTGAACTAGGCAGTCAGAGGAAGAAAGGGGCATTTGTAAAAGAAAAAAATATGTGACACCAACCATTTCTCCCACAGTCTTCTCTACTCAGCTGGGTTCAGTAAGTCATTGTGGTGGCCATACAAAACTCAGACACCATTACTAACAAATATGGGACTTACTAGGGAAGTCAATAGGTTACAATTCGGGATTAGAAAATGCTCAGTTCTCCTGAGACATGCCCACAGGCAGGCCTCTGTCTAACCAGGTAATGTTATACAGCTCGTTGTAGAAATGCTCACAGGACATCTCCTTTCACTATAAGGCTCAGCCTGAAGGCACTCAGCTAGCTCTAGCTCTGTGGGTCAGCAAACCAGTGGCCTGGAAGACACCCCATTCTGCAAGCAAAGTCACTCAGCTTTACTGGTTCATGGGCTGGGAAGCCCACTGTTCTGCCTCATGCTCTAGCTCATGGTTTTGCTGCTGCTGCTTCTCCGGTGTCACAGTTTTTTGTCCCTAGCTCTAGGAAGTTCAGTGTGCAGGGATCTCAGAGTCCAAAGGATGTGCTTACTCCCTTCTCTTTGATGGTAGTGCAGTTCCTCCTTCCTGCTTCTGAAACAGCTTTTGTTATACAGTGTCACTATGGCTTGGAACCAAGTCACCAGCACTTAACAACAACAACATACACATCAGAGTTCTAGATTTTTACAATCATAGTTAACCCTGTTAACCAGTCACACCTGAATCATATAATCCTGTCAGCATCTTATTCCATCTTCTCTTAATCAGACCTATAGGACAAAAGTGTTGTTTGGTGGGAATTTACACAAAGACTGTGACTAGAAGAGGCGTTAAATATTTCACTGCACCACAGACACCGTAGGGTTCAGAGGAGTCCAGCCTCAAACAGTGCAACATGTGGGTACTTACCACACTGCAGCAGATAGAAATTCTGACTATTTAGAAAGGTGGTTTTAGTTGTATGCAAATAAAGTTATATAGTCACTATATTCTCACTAGGTATTAGTAGACTTTCTGTATATACTGCTTCCTTTAAGTCTCAACAACTCTGTGGAGTAAGAAGTATTAGTCTACTTTTATAGATGATAAAACTGAAGCCAAAAGAGGCTAAGTAATATTAAAGGAGACACTTGAACCCAAACCAGTGTCCAGTGATGCCCTTGGTCTTTTTACTGTACCTCACTTTGCCATATTTTCCAATGAGATCTGTCACACTTGTGTTGAAACAGGTTTTTTAGTTTCTTGCCTTCATGTGATAAACAAAGAGCTTCAGATCTTAAAACGTGATTCATTGATCCTGATTTTAGGGTGGCTACAGCAACAACAACAACAACAGAAGTCCTAAGGAACTCTGGTAGCGTAGTGGTTACGAAATCGGGCTGCGAACTTCAAAGTCAGCAGTTCGAAACTACCAGCTGTTCCGTGGGAAAACAATGAGGCTTTCTGCTCCTGTAAAGATTTTATAGACTCGGAAACCCTGTACAGGGTCGCTATAAGTCGGAATTGACTCCATGGCACATAACCACCACCAGCACAGGAGTCCTGGTGTGGCGCTGTGGGTTAATGCTCCAGACTGCAAAGCTGTTTGAACTGCAAGGTCGGCAGTTCAAGTTCACCACCTGCTCCTCGGAAACCCTATACAGGGTCACTATGGGTCAGAACTGACTTGGCAGTACTTAACAACAACAACTTGCTTGCTGTGGGTTAATGTGCCAGACTGCAAAGCCGTTTGAACTGCAAGGCTGGCGGTTCAAGCTCATCAGTCGCTCCTCAGAAACCCTATACAGGGTTGCTATGGGTCAGAACCGACTCGACAGCACTTAACAGCAACAACTTGCTTGCAGTAAGAAAGCATGTATATAAAACAGATGAAACTTGGGTAATACAATACACGTCTCCACTCAAATGTGCTTACCTCCTGAAATGCTGACTGATGCCAGCATTTGTTTATTTTCTTTCACTCTTGTGTGTGATATTGTTGTGTGCCATGGAGATTTATTTAGGATGAGTTGAGAATTTTAAAGTACCTGGAAGGGAAGATACAAAAAGAAACACGTTTTCCACAGCACCTCACTCCCAGTTAGATGAAAATTGCCATCATTTATGACATTACTGAAAGAACCACAATATAAACCCAGTTTGCATTCTTTGAAAGAAACACAAACAGGATTGTGTGTTCTAAGAGATAAAGACAAGTTTGTACCATAAAACTTCCTGTCATTTCTAAGCTAGGGTAGAAATGGCTACATTTACTTTTCCATCTTTTGTTTGTATAATTTGCGTACCATTCTCAACACAACTGGAAGCAAAAAATGGCTTCTCAAAACTAGAGAACCATGCCAAGTGCAGGAACTATGTGATTCTTCTTTGTAGTACATGCTATTTCTGTAATAATCAGGTTGGGTAAGATTATGTTTATTTTCTTCTTGAAAAGGTAATTTTTAAAGTCTGCTGTGTTTTGAGCATCTCTCTTAATAATTTGGGAGAAGGAGGTGACAGTCTGCTTTCAGAAAGGTTGTTGGTGGTAAGTGCCCTCAGGTTGGTTCTGACTCATAGGGACCTTGTATCGGGCTTCTTAGGAGCAGCTGGTAGGTTTGAACTGCCAACCTGTGGTTAGCAGGCCATTGCTTATCATACAGCCCCTGTGGGGCAATTTTACCTTGCCCTGTAGACTCTCTCTGAGTCCTAATCTACTCAATAGCAATGGGTTTGATTTAGGTTTTCTTAATATTGGCCAATATCCAGTGAATCTCCAGAGGGCCACTTAAAGCTGAATGTTTAACCTTCTAGTTAGAACTTATTGTATAGCTGAATTCCTCAGTTGCCATGCACTGTCAAATGTACTTTTCATTCTTTATTATTGTTCTTGGTTCCTTGGGGAAATGCCATAAGAAAATGGGAATTTCCCCTCACCATTCCCCCTCTAGCAATGTTTCAGTTCAGCTGCTGACACTATGTCTTCATTATTACCCCTTCTCCATGATAGCAGCCTATATGTGCTCATCTGCTAAAAGGGGGTTTCCAGACAGACGAGGAAGCAGTTTTGAAATGCTGCACTGCAGGCTTATTAAGTCATCCCACTGTGCAGTCTGGAAGTCGGGGAGCACCTCTCTGATGGTGCATTCTAATGAGCTACTGAAGATGCCAGAGTGTGTGCGCGCATGCATTTTCTTTCCCCTCCCCCTTTTCTTCCTTTTCCCAAACCTTATTTCCCCTCCTACTCTCTTACCCCTCCCTCTGTGTCTCAGTTCTGCAGTAATTGGGGCTGAAGCACATTCCTGCTTTTCAAGGCTTTCTGTTAAGGATTTATTGTGGCTTTTGTTTGGATTGCAGCGTACACAATTACAGGTAACACACTGAAATTGAGCTAAACAGATAAAATTCTCTTGTAATGTTTTTAGAGAGGCAAAATACCACATTGGAATCAGTGAAAATAAGCTATCTTGGTTAATTTTATTAGTGGTAATTATAGTGAAATGTGTTCAGAAATGTGGAGGTAATGAGATAAATATTTTTAAGCATACTCCTCTTTTCTCTCTCTGAAAGGCTCAAATGAAAGGAAGGAGGGTATAGATTGATTTGACTCTGATTGATTTTGTTTTATGTTAATCTTGAAAGCTTCTGATTGCTGTGCCTCCTCAGTAGAGTAAGGACTAGTTATGTGGGGTGCTACTGGGGGTATTCATGGATATGTAGTGAGAAGGGTGATACAATGTGAACTAGCCAGGTTCTTTGATTAGGGTATTAGATGCAAAATGTAAAATGCTCTCTCCTTTTCTTCTATCAGCTGTATAGAGGAGACTCATTACAACTCCTGATGAAGCTCCTAATCTTCCTCCCTTCTCTTCTGCCCCTTTTCCCTACCCCCACTTGGCCTGAAGACATTGCCCCCAGAGTTTGCCTTACTCCCCTGGTGCTATGTGTATGGTGAACCCGCCACTATGGCCGCATCTGGGACTGGCCAGACAACTGCTGTTGGCTCTCGCAATTCCAAGAAGGATTTAAAGGGGAATTGTACTGCAGGCAATGCACCAGAGCAGCAGCATCAGGAGCGTGGGGACTAAGGCTCCTTTGACATTATTATACATACACAGAGCTGGCCGCAATGACAGCAGCTGCTCCTTCGAACTGCGGGCAGCAGCCAAGCGGCAGCATGAAGTGACAGATCATCCTGAGCTCAAGATGAACTTCACCTTGGATGGTAATCAGAGCAGCCGCCCCTTTTGCCTCTTGGCATTTGGTTATTTGGAAACTGTCGAGTTTTGCCTTTTAGAAGTGTTGATTATTGTCTTTCTAACTGTATTGATTATTTCTGGCAACATTATTGTGATTTTTGTATTTCACTGTGCACCTTTGTTGAACCACCACACTACAAGTTATTTTATACATACTATGGCATATGCTGACCTTTTGGTTGGGGTTAGCTGCCTAGTCCCTTCCTTATCACTCCTCCACTACCCCTTGCCAGTAGAGGAGTCCTTGACTTGCCAGATATTTGGTTTTGTTGTATCAGTTCTGAAGAGTGTGTCCATGGCCTCTCTGGCTTGCATCAGCATCGACAGATATATTGCTATTACTAAACCTTTAATCTATAATACCCTGGTTACACCCTGGAGACTACGCCTGTGTATCTTACTGATTTGGTTATATTCCACTTTGGTCTTTTTGCCTTCCTTTTTCTACTGGGGCAAACCTGGATATCATGGAGATGTGTTTCAGTGGTGTGCGGAGTCCTGGCACACCAACCCCTATTTCACCCTGTTCATCGTGATGATGTTTTATGCCCCAGCAGCTCTCATTGTGTGCTTCACCTATTTCAACATCTTCCGCATATGCCAACAGCACACAAAGGAAATCAGTGAAAGGCAAGCCCGCTTCAGCAGCCAAAGTGGAAAGGCAGGGGAAGTGCAGGCGTGTCCCGATAAGCGCTATGCCATGGTCCTGTTCCGAATTACTAGTGTATTTTATATCCTCTGGTTGCCATATATCATCTATTTCTTGTTGGAGAGCTCCACTGGCTTCAGCAACCACTTTGCATCCTTCTTGACCACCTGGCTTGCTATTAGTAACAGTTTCTGCAACTGTGTCATTTATAGTCTCTCCAACAGTGTCTTTCAGAGGGGATTAAAACGTCTCTCGGGGGCCATGTGTACTTCTTGTGCAAGTCAGACCACAGCCAAGGACCCGTACACAGTAAGGAGCAAAGGCCCCCCTAATGGATGCCAGGTCTAAAGTGGCACAGATTATTGAGTCACTGGGTGTATGTGTGTATTTATGTCTGTGTGTTTCTTCCTTTTTATCTCTGTACTTCTAGTTTACTAGACAATCTGGTACAAAATGATTTAAATTTCAGCAATAGCAAACAAATTACCCACCCAAAAATACCTTCTAAGTTTGCAGAAATCATTTTCTAATCTGTATTTTTGAACCAAAAAAATTAAAACCATGAATATAAAAATTCTCTTGATTTCAGTTTTTTAAATGCTATGGCAATGACTCCAGTTCTCAGATTTAAAATGAATAAAGCCATATCTAACACCCCTCTTCAGCTGTCATGACTGAACCTTGGTGTGAAAAGCTTCAGCATTTTTAAAAGTCATCATTTTCCTGACACTCTCTGGGTTCTTTCCAGCTTTTTGGGCTTCATGTGCAGTTGATGTATTTTAGGATAGGAATATTAACACAGTTTATATATACATGTATATGTACATATGTTAACACACACATACACACACATGAGAGGACTTCAAAAAATTCATGGAAAAATTCCATTATCTTTTAATTCTGTTTTTCCATAAACTTTTTGAAACCCCTTACTGTGTATGTATATGCCTAACTGTAAATTTCAGCATTGTCATTTAGAAAGCTAAATATTTTGTGTTACAGAAATTTCATTAAGGTGAATGTGTACATTTAAACAGTGATTTTAGAATTTTACAGTGAATCATGGAAGCAGAAGTACATTCAGATGACATAATTTATGAAAAACTGCGGTAGACTTTTTGTAGCCTACTTCACATAGCTCTGAAGAATTGTGTACCTAAAAATGATAGTGTTGTAGTATTTGTGCCAATGCCTTTGTATATATGTGTATTGAGAATATTTAAATTGAGTTGAATTACTCTTTTTTTTTTTTTTTTAACAAAATGTGTTTTAATAAGCTAAAAATAATTAAATGATAGGCTGATGGCTACCATTTTTATAATGGTAATTTTTTTCTCTCCATCGGATGTGGTTTTTATTCATCTGACAAGCACTTTTCTACAGCTGTACTTAGAGAGCATCACATGGCAAACAGGAGATTCCGCCTCCCCAAGCCCCCATTTTTTTAACTTTAATCAAAATGAGATTGGTCTTAAAAATACAGAAATTTAGATTGACAGAAAACTATATAATATCAAAAAGTCACTGAGACACCACATTTGTTTATATAAAAGGTCAGTCCCTTTTGTTGGGAAAGGAACTTGGAAATTTATGATGACAGTGTGGTTTTCTTCCTGTTAACCAGACAGATACAGGGTTCTTGTTTTTTTCCTTTAAACTTGCATTACCTATCAACCTAGTTCTAGGACATTGAAGAAACTGGAAGAAGAGTCAGAAATGACCTCCTTGACCAAACTCTGCTCCTATCCCTACTCCCATTCAGCCCCACCTTCATGCTGAGGCTAGGACCCTATCCCACCTTAAGAGTGCATGGTCCCTAGGGAAAATGGTTAAAAAAAATGTTTATGTTTCTTCTCTGTTTTTGCTCTAAAAATTTGGCATATGATATGAGAACATATCAGGGAGAAGGAAGTCATAAGTAACTGAATAAAAAAATATGCTGTATATTTAACTAGTTCATTTTTTAATTGGAAGGGATAAGTTGAGGTGTTTTCTTTGTGGCTAAATGGAATCAATTAACATAGTAGCAGCTGATTTTTTTCTTTAAATGTTAGTATTTAGGAATTCATGTTTTAAGGGGTAAAGAAGACTCTGGTTAGTCTAAATCTCTTTTATTGCCATTCTTCTGAGGCAGTGATGAGGGGGGAAATCCTATGGATTACAGTTCTTTTCTTAGTGACAGGCTTTGTTTTTTCCTGTTCTTAACCAAACTACTCATCTAGTCTGTAAGATTTATTGTCATTGGTCTCTAGCTTTTATTATTAAGAGTGGTGTGTGTTTGTGTATAATAGTGATATTTTGTTTTAAGAAATGATTGTCATTTGAGCAAGAGGTTTATTTTTGAAATGGAGAGAAGGACTTCCCACAGATATAAGACTGTTTCCCTTTTTACTAGTTTTAAACATTTTGGAAATTTCAGGGTACTCATTTGATTTCTTCATTTGACTAGATGTTATCATCTGGATGCGACAATGGTGTCCAATGATGGAATGTGGAAGAAACCCAAGGGACGTAGGTTTCTGAATCCAAGAAAGGACATGAATATTTATAAAACAGGCTCTTGGCTTTCTATCATGGTATTAGAGACACCCCCCCCCCCTTTTAAATAAAGGCTAACATTCTTAACGATTGTAAAGTTTAGACATCAATTTGATTTTAACTTCAGAGTATACACCATTAGAATTTTGTGTTTTAAATGGGTAAATATTAAATACACCCAAATGTCAAATTTTGGATTCTTTCTAAAAGCTTACTTACTCTTCAGTATTAGAATATTTGATTCTCAGCTGTTTCAAAATTTAGTTTTATTACAGTGGTAAAGATCTACAAAACAAAAAAAAAATTTTCTTACAACAAATTTGTGCAATTTTCTTGTGAAACAGCTTAGCAAATATGGAAAGCGCTAAGATTTTAATTTTTATAGAAAACTGATAGCAAATCATTGTAGGCTTTACTTTTCTTTTTTCCTCCAAAAGGGTTCTAGCTTACAAGAATGAAATAGAAAAAAATGTCTGTTTAGTTTTCTTGTAATGATCAGTCAAGCACATCTTTTAATGACTTAGAAGATGACAACTCTTTTAATAAATGCTTTTGTTTATAGACTTTATACATTATTTTACTAGGGCCAAATTCATATAACCATGAGAGGCATTTTAAAAATATTGGATCTCTATGAATGTCACAGACAAAAACTGAAGTAGAAAGTAAATATATGCAGTGATTTTTAGCAAAATAAAACTGTCTCCCCTCCCAAATTGATACTCCAGTTAATTTTGTCTTCATTGTACTGTATAAACTCTCAGCTTTATCTCATGTATCGAATTATTTTATTCATTGCCTGTACTGCTGTTTTTTTGTGTTTTAAAAGGGGGGAGGGTATTGAAAAGTGGAGGTAGCTTAGATCAATCATACAGTCTTCAGTGTCTTGGGGCAGTTTCTATGTGATATGTTTTAAGAGTTTATGTTTTCTTTTTAAATAACCTTTTCATCTTGGGTTGTTTAATAAAACATTTGACATTCTGCGTTAATACCAATTTGACTAGTTCAGAATGAGGGGGGAAAGTTTTGGATCTGATTTACTTGGGCTTTGGTAGGACAGCTCATTTAGCTTTATATGGGATGTGACTGATGTCAGAGGAGGCAAATGCTTTTGGTTATTGAATCGAAATTATTTCATACTAAATTTTGGAAGTAAGATTATATTAATTGTACTTGTAAATTTGTTGTGTGTTTTTATAGAATGATTTCAGTGCAGGTATGTTTTAGAGGGGAAATGGTAATTACAAAAGGACAAGTGTTTCATTTTATTGAAAGAACTATACCGAAATGAATACTTCAGTTTCATGGACCTGTTGACTCTTAACCAAAATTCCATTTGGGGAAATTGTTTTCTTTTAGCTTTATGTCTGGATATCTTCTTTTTGATCCTTTTATAAAGGCTATTCTATTTTACTTGAATAATAATAGTTTCAGTGCTTTAAATATTAAGAAAACTTGAATTTTTGTAGTATTAATGCATTTGAACACCTCTTTGAAATTGAAAATGAAGTGGCAGGGATATAGACTCCTGATTAGTAGGGTGGTTTCACTAGGATTCCCTCAACTTTTCAGGTCTGATTGAAAATCTGCACAGTAGCTTTGTAGGAAATAATTTCAGTTTCACTATGTGTTTTGTATAATAAATAATTATTAATAATTTGAAAGCCAAAATTTATTGTTACGTGAGTAGAATTTGAAAGAAAGGATAGAAAATGATGGTGACAGGAGATTTTTTTTAAGTCTTATAAATCATTTTTATGTGGTGATTTTTGCATACTATTTTACATTTGAGGTATATTAAAAAAAAACAACACACACACATCAACTATGAGTGTATATATTATGAATATATTTTAAAGACCATGATGATATTTTAGACATTTCTATGGCTATACATGTGTCATTTAGCTTTTCTTCAAATTTTGGGTAATCAAAGGAAGCATGATATGATAAAAAATGAACTTTGAACTTAGAATCCAAAAATCTGGGTTTCTGTTACCTTATTAACAGAAGTTTTGTAAGTTAGGGCATGTTGATTTGCTAAGTATTGAGTTTCTTCTGTAAAAGTAGATAATGGTTCCTTCATACCTCATAGATTACTTTGAGGAGTGAATTAGATAATGGATGTGAAAATATTTTGTAAATTGTAAAGTTCTGCACAAATAAAAATAATTACTGACATTTGTTCTACTATAATTTTACATGTAAAGAAGCCAACCATCATGACATGGGTGTTCCCCCATATAAAAATCTGTAAAGCTCAGTGTTAGATCACTGCAACAAGCTACTTAACTAACATTTCCTGACTTGAGAAGAGAGGCAAGCTAAACCATCACATTTCTAAAATGACAGTAACTTTAAATTCAGCATAGAATTGCTTTCATTTAATTTCTTTGTCTGCAAACTCTAATAACAGTTTATATAGTTAGCCTCAGAATCTGACATAGGACCTGGCTTAGAGTTGACGCTTTAATAAATTTTGCAGAATGAATGAATGACCCTTTCTTAACTATTCTAGGGATATTTCTTCAGTCAAATTTGCTTCTTTAGTTACATGTCTTCTGATCTAATTCCTTGCAAGTCTCAGTAATCTTACAAACCAGAAAATCAATCTTTCCGTATAAGGGGGAGTCCTGGTGTGGAGCTGTTGGCTAAAGCATCAGACTACAATGTCGGTGGTTCAAGTTCACCAGCTGCCCCTTGGAAACCCTATACAGGGTTGCTGTGGGTTGGAATCAACTCAATGGCACTTAACAACCACAACATACATGTATGGAATCCTGGTATGGTGTTATGGGTTAATACACTGGACTGTAAAGTCAGTTTGAACTGTAAGGTTGGCAGTCCAAATTCTACAGCT